TTTACAATACTAATATGTTAGTATTTTGATGTTTTACTATAATATTGTCCTAATAGTGCTTTATTGTTATAATATATTGCAGTTTAGTGTCAACAACTGCATTGGCGATGTGGCCTCTTTCTGCATACATACAAACCAACCCCTGGCAATYCACTCTGTGCCACAGCTCCAATGGTCTCATGGTTAATGCCATGGGCTTTCATGTGGGAAACCCAGCTAYTGCAACTTTAACAAAAATCCTCTTCAAACTTCATATTGTCACACAATTACCCTCATTACAAACACCTGCTGACTTGACAAGCACAAACTGGTATAGAAAACATATTTGAAATTGGTCACCATTCATTCTGCAAGTGCACTGCTGCAGGTAAAGGCATGCTACATGACAATGCACACTTGTTTTTACATCGTAAAAACCCATGTCTAGTTATACTTCTCATTCAACCACAATTGAATTCGCTCTATCTGGGAGGCACAATGCAGTATTTATTTTTTACAATAAGCAGCTGGGAGGAAAACAAGCAAAAATGAAATAAAAGTAACGACTTTCTACATCTTGTCTTTTTTTTTAAAAATGCAAGGAGTAGAAAGTACAGATAACTGCGTGAAAATGTAAGAAGTAGAARTAAAAAGTAGGCTGAAAAAAATTACTCAAGTAAAGTACAGATACTCAAAAAATCTAATTAATTACAGCAACAAAGTATTTGTACTTAGTTACTTTACAACTCTGTTCATAATACAGGCAGAAACACAGACTACAAAGAAGGTCACTAAACAAAAAAACATTTGTTGCATTTAAAAAAAAAGCTCTAGAACCTAACAGATGTATTTACAATGTTTTAGGCAGGAAATATGACAAGTTTATTGAAAAACATTTCAATTTTGAGAAGAAAATTCTGAGTTCAGCAAAAGTTATCAAGTTTGGATGTGCACGCTGCACTTCGGTGGGAGATGAGAGAAACCAAGTCCTGGGAGACACAAAGAAGACAAAAATGTCAACATGTTATGTATAAAACAAGAAATTGGATGTTTGTGGGAGTAAAAAGAGCTCATTTGCATTTTTTCAAAGTTTCGGCATCTGAAATATTAGTGTGTAAATGTAATCAGATTGAGTTTGTTTCTTTTTGGAAGTTTTTAAAGATTATAAAACCTAAGGTGTAACTGTGTAAAAACTGTAAAACATATCAAAATGACATTTCAGTCAAGACCTGTTAAAGTGACCTGTTGAAASTCTGAGTGACATAACTGTAAAAATGGCTTTTCTTTTGGTTTCACTAGAAATTAAAAGAAAAGAAAATGTTTTGTAAGATGAAAATTACTTATCTTTTTTTTTGCCCTTTTTGTTGACGTTGTGCCTACACAAAAAAAATCAAAGCCCACTGTTCCTGATTGAGCTGCATGTTTTGATATATTTCCCTCAGTTTTTGCAAAGCTGCAGGATGGGGATTGTGAATCAGAAACTGAGGAGGAAACAAAAGAAAAACAAATGGAACGGTTCTTCCTTGCATACGTTAGCTCAGGTTGTAATTCCATGCAGGAAGAAAAAGGAAACAGACATATTTTTAGATTAGGTTTTATTTAGTCCTTTTTTAATTTAGCTGTAATACGGTGAGGACCTTTTTTTTCTAAAACAAATCACAACACAAATCCAAAAGCCTGCTTCTTATTAATTTATTAACTATCATGCTTGAAGAAGCTTTTTTTTCCATGCGGCTCTGCTTGAGCTTTCTGACAGCCAGTGTGTGGAGTTCAAAGCAGCTTTCCCACATTATGTTTTATCTTTTCTCCCACCGGCAAACAAATTCACAGCAAGTTGTTTGTTTACTCGTATTTGTTTCTGAAATTTGGACCGATCATCTCTCCTTTTATCGCTCTGACAGCAAAGAAAATACCAAGGTCATATTAGCGTGTGAACAAAACTAGTTAAACTACAGTATCATTTCATTTTCTAACTCTGGTTCAAACATTGAAAAGAAAAGAAAAACATAGAGAAACAAACCTCCCGCACGTGTTACCAAGGTTACAGACCAACCACTAACAAACAGTGGGCAACATGAAGGAAGCAGGCTGTAATGGTGCTACGGCTCAGTTTGAGCAAACACACAAAACAACTGGAAACTGGCCCGACCCCTGCTTCATCGGTTTGATGTTCAGTGAACTTGCTGCGTTTTGTCACTTTGCTTTTCCCTCCATGAGCCCCAAGGACACMGAATGACACAATTAGAGCATCCACTAAGCAGCTGTAAACCCACCTTATGGCTCCCCCCATGGCTATTTACACTACCCACAGATTACATGTTGCTCCATCACCCAGCAAGCGCTTCCCGTYTCGCTTCTTTGTCCCGTTTCCTTCATCCTCAGCCCGAATCTGTGCTTCACATTTGTAATCATGTCTGCAATGAGCTGTGTTTTAGGTGAAACCATAACAATAAAAAAGTCCTCATTAAGTGATAAAATATGACTAAAAGCTTGAGAAGTTATTTCATCAGTTCTTCTGAGTGATGGTGATGATGCTCTGCGCTACTGCTGCGGCTCTGCCTGTCCCCATTCTTCAACTCCAGAAGTGGAGGGGGGGACCAGAGAAGCTATTTGTCACTATACGGCAAACTGTTAAGTATTTATTTATTACAGTGTACGTTCTGAGTAAAATTAAACCAAGGTGGAGTAGTGTGTACAAAACAAATTAATTTCTATCAAATTGAAGAAAGTAAAAAAAAAAAACATGCAGGAAAAGTTATAAATGTGGCAGGAGATTAAAACAACGCTGCTTTGGATTAGATTAAATAATATTTATTAGACTTAATAAACTGATGTGTAAACTGGGACTGGTATTCCCTATGTTATGTGACAGTTTTTTTGGCATACACACCTATTTGTGAGGACCTAATGTTACTTATGGGAATCTGAGTCCAGTCCCCTTAAAGGGCCAATATTATGTGTTTCTCAGGCATATATTTAAATACTATACCATAATAAAGTATCTATGTCACTTTTAGCTGTTATTAAAATGCTGTTTTTATGTTCAAATAGAAAATAAACTTATCTTCTCATCACTTCCTCCTCTAAACGCCTTGAAATTCACCTCTGTCTCTTTAAGAATAACCTTCTGCTTCTGTCCCGCCCATTTCAGCGCGGGGAGGTTCGCGCATGCGCTATGATGCAGTTTACTTGGCATCTGAAAATACATTTCTTCAAAGGTATTTTGAATCTGAAAAGAGCTTCACGTAGTGTTAAGAGCAGCAGACAGTTTAAGTTTCACTTTCATTTTGCTTTGTTGCTGCTGAGAGCCTGCAGGAGTCATGGGCGGGGTGTGTGGGGTGGGGAGGTGTGCTCTGTGATGAGGAAGC